ATCCGTGGAGACCTCAGGCAGCTGAGAGGATTCAGAAGCAGCGTGGAATTAGCAAAATTTCTGCTTGACAAGTTTGTCACGTCTTTGGTTTTTAACTCATTGTACATTCCAAAAAATAAACCTGTAAAAACACAAAAAGTAACACTTAATTACAAATACGTCATGCCATCAAGGTAGCAGCCATGCCTACTGTTAGTGGGTGTACAGTGCTATTGCTAGCTTAGCATTGCTGGCGCTACTATTTTATTCAAATGGGATATGCGTTCTTTGTGAATATTTATGACGACTATGCACTCTCCTAATCGCAGGCCTTAATGTGTGGCCATTTTTCAGAATCACAAATTTTTTTGTGTTGCTGCCACACTATCACTCAGTGCACGTGCTGTTTAGTTGTAATATAGACGACAATGCATTGTTACTTACAACTGCTCATGTCATGTGACAGTTATCAGGAAAAAAATGGATGTCAAATGTGGATAAAAACACGAAGATGAGATGACCTGTGTCTTGAGCAGTGTCCCTGCTTTATTTATCAGCATCGACACATGCAGAGCCACACACGCGCCATAGGAGCCATCATCCAGCATTTGCACTGTAATGTGAGTCATGGGAGTCGCATCACGTCTTCCACGGCTAAGCGGTCCGTGGACGTGCATGGTGGGACAGACACAGTGCAGATCAGAGTACACTCACAGCCTATTACTGCAAAAGCACCACATCTATCCCTGCATAAATTAACTGCAAGCTTTTTGCCACTCATCTGCAACGCTGAACAAATGCAAGTTCCTCTATTGCAGCTGCCTCCTACTCTCGTTTTTTTCATTAAAAGTGGGATCATTTCTGTTATTGTCTCTTTGATATCACTGGCAGATCTTACGGGACCTGTCCTAAAATGAGATAAGAACAGATGACTTTCCATGGAAAACAAAACGTTATTCAACATTATTAGATCATGAACATGGTTAGACTTTCAATAACAATGAAAGGCTTTATGAAAAGATGAAACAGATAACTTTTGGTCAGATAAATAAAATAAAATCAAAGTGGCGAAGCTAAGGCACCCCTTTTACATGAGGAAAATCTCATGGCAAACGAGCAAAGAAAAATGCTCCAGAAAGTATGAATACTGAAATATAATGATGTGGGAGATCAATTTAACCCGTTTTTTTATTTGGTGTGAAATTTGGGCCTGTTTAATTAATTGAACACAAAGCCATGACTTACTCGGAATAGCAGATAAACAGTTAATTCTGTCGTCTAGTGGAAGAGCACCTAATTGTTGTGTCTGTCACTTTACGTTGTTGCCTTGATAGATGAACCAAGATTTTGTTTTTTGAATGAAAAATAATTTGGGGACAAATTAGGTGGCTTCATCCTAGTTGGCAATCGCTGACTTTCAGTGCTTGTTTGATGTGAATCCACTGCACTTTTGAAGGACAAACCTCAAAAGGCAATACAGAGTATGTCATATAATTCAAGAAACCAAGCATCAAAACTTTGCAGCTGAAAAGCACTGTCGTGCATGACACCATGCAAAATCAGCAAACCTGAAAGGATGAATGCTTTGGCTTTTCTGCGACACCAAAAGGAGCAGCCTCAACAAGAAAAGGAGTCATTCCCACGAGACAATACAGAAATTCCTTCCTGACCGAGTGCTTTAACAGAAATGCAACTAACTGTCCTGCAGAGTGCACTTTTCCCACTGCGTGAGTGTGTGTGCCCATCAAATGCCATGTTGGCACAGGCCCTTCGATGTGCGCTGCCAAATCTGGGTCAGAGGGAGCACCCACGCGTGCAAAAACGCCCACGTGTACATCTGTGACCTTCATCAAGCTCTTTTCAAAACTTCCAGTCGATCAGAGACAGTGCGGCAGTCAATGTTCACTTCAACTCAGATCAAGTACATAAGGAGCTGTGCCATGATGTATTAAAGTCACATTATCTGAAACACTCACTGCATAACACTATTTGTTTTCGCCGGAAGACAGACAAGGAGGGCACATTAAGAAAAAAAAAGCCTCAGCGGAGGACCGTCTCGGTTAAATCGTCCCTATGGAAGCCGAGCGTCAGGGGAGCACAAGGGCGGCGTAGTTAATGGGACGTCAGTCAGATGACGGGAGATGAAAATGGGGCAGCTGTTTAAAAAAAAAAAAATCTGACAAGCACGTGACGCTTTACGTGTATTAAGTACCAATTGGGATAGAAAATTAGTATCAAGGATGTCATGTTAGGGTCACGGGATAAAATGTCATAAAAATGAATTTGAGAATTCATCATTGAGCTTTACAGTGAAAAGTACTTTCCTCCATGCTGATGCTTCCATATGTTTGACGGTGCGGATTTTTTTTTTTCTCGGTGCAGTTTGTATTTTCCGAGCTGTTGTCACTCAGCCTGTCAGCCTTGCTTGCATCTGCCAACTTGGATTCCAGGCCTCAGCATGATGTCTGCACTCACCCGTCAAGTGAGAGAGTCAATGTGACACTTGTGTCCCACTTCCCTGGGACGTAACACAGCACCACCACCATGTGCGCCTGTGTGTGTGCATGTGTGAGTGTGTACCCCCACGGAGACGTGGGCGCAACAACCCGATTGTCAGTGGCCTGCTTCTTACGGACTCTTTAAGCCCCATGTGTGGTGACTACTTCATTCTGTTTCCATCAGTCCACACGGGATGCAAAGTGCACTTTACAAGTACATCCTCACTCCCCACTGCAGTGTGTGTGTGTGTGTGTATACACCCACCAACCACAACAGAAGGAAGACGTGAGCATCATACTTTGCAGTTATAAGATACATCTTTTTGTTTACACAATTAAACATGTAAAAATGTATTGTATGCAGTGGTGCTTCAAGCATTTGATACAGACGGACAAGGGGTGCGGGTGGCCACCCTGTGGCTCCGCCCCTAGGCTATTAAAAATCCCAACGTTAGACATCTGGATGAGGGCAACACACGTGCATTTTCTTCTGACACCAAATCATCTGCAAATCATCTATATTTAAGTTTAATGATAGTTTGTGGCATATTGACAATTAAAAGTATTAGGCTATTGTAAACATATTGGAGATATTGGTGACTGACATTTCGCCATTTGCTACACGACTCATTCGGTATTCCCTGTGGGTACCAGTGTTTACTGTTGTTTATTTTGTTTTTTGTTTTTTCAAGTTGGGGTTAGCTGTATTGTTAAATGAATACAACTGACAATGTGAGTGTGTGTACATTATTACCATGCAAAGATACCACTTGCATTAGCATTATTATGTGGGTTGTGTTCTTTTTCTGCTACTTAGCCGTGCAATCAGTTACGAAAATCAGTCTGCGAAATATGAAGTGATAGACAATGAGTGGCAACTCACTTAAAATACATCATAATTGTACTTACGTAAAACAAATGGAAGGGGATTTTTTTCTGTCCCCTTTAAGAATTGAGTCTCTCCACCGATTTCCACATCAAGACCTACTGGTATACACGCACACACACGTTTGTGTCAGCTAGTTTCTGATTCAATGCGTCTCTAATCAGATCCACCTGACCAATCCCCAGTGTGTGCATCCTGCGGTGTGGCTCCTGCGAATATCCGCGTGTGGAGATTGTGGGGGGTGCGTTTAGAGCGATGAGTGCCACATTGGAGGAGATGCTACCTCAGCACAGCTCAGCAACAAGGAGGATCCATCATGAGGGGACAGTTTTGGGAGCAGACGAGCTGCTGGTCCTCCACCCACGCAGGGCTGTATAAGCAAACACGCGGGCCTGTTTGAAGCCAGTCTTCAAAATTTACACTGCGGAGTTCTGTAATCAATCCTATGGATTGAAACGGGATGTTTACCACAAATGCATGCAACATTGCATCGTGCTCTCCTAGCCTACCATCTGTACCCACCTGGCTGTCTGATAGCTGCCACAAGCAATCAACTATTGCGCTGAGCCATGTGCACCTGAACTCATCTGAGACACCCGGCCAAGGAAGCTCACTGCCTGAATATGAGCAACTCGTTTCTAGGGGGATTCGTTTTTTTTAACGCACTCTTCCATGAATACAAACACGCAATCTTTGAAGATTTGGAAGTGACAGCTAGAATAAGGATCAGGAAATAGATGTTTTCAAGGTGGTACAACCCTGAACGTTGATGCAATAATGCGTGACGAAGTACATATAGACTAGAAACAACATATAGACTATAATAGGAACAATAGTAATTGTTGACCAGTAATCAAAAGCCCTCTTCGGGTGACGGCTAAATATTCTGTTATTCACTTCCAACAAATTACATGTATTGGTTAAAACAATTGTCATGTTTATGTTGGGGTGGCTATTGCTGCTGCTGAATGTAACTGGAAGTAACGTGTAACCCAATTTAGTAACTTTCAAAACCGAGTCATCAATAAATAAGTTACTTATAATATCAAGATGTTAATTCAGTTACATTTGAAGGGTAACTGTGGCAACAGTGCCCCATTAACCCACCATGAATGACTTTTATAAAGAACGTCAAGTATTTGAATTGCTTACTTACATCTCACAACAAAACATTAAGCCTCTACAGTATAATAACCCCTTTTAGTTGAAGCAAGCACAGTGCGCTGTGAACATAATGGCGACTTCCAGTACAAACATCTATCCCCAAAGTGTTACAGAGCAAAGGCACTCCGAGGCCAACCTAATTCTAACATACACCTAATTTCAAGTAAAAACAAATCCTTTAAAAATATGTTGACGTTGATCACCATTTCCTGCCAAGCATAATTATAAATGTGAATGGTTGGCGGCGGCGTGATGACTTCACACTGCAACTCAGTATTTAATCCCAAAGGAAGAAAAACATCAGCTATCACAATGTAGAACGAATTTTAATCTAAAAATAATTACTGGTGTGCAGACAATATCAGGCAGATGGGAATCATAAAAATGCTCAGACTGTATATTTGATTCTTATCAACATGACATTTATTTTAAAAATGCCTACGTGTGTGTGTGTGTGTGTGTGTGTGTGTGTGTGTGTGTGTGTGTGTGTGCGTGCGTGCGCGTGGCCGTGTGGTGGTGGGGGTTTATCTTTTACTTTTCACAATAAATACAGACTTTTTGACAGTTTGACAATTACACTGGATGATTATCATACAAGTACGGGATTGGGGGGTTGTAGATGCCCAGACATAATGGGGATTTACAGATGTGGAAAACATGATTGGGGAGAAATTGTTGCAATCTTTTGTATAATTTTCCAAATATTTTGCCATCTGGACCTAAAAAAAAAATCTTTTGAAGCGAGGGGGTGGATGTCCAGCACCTTACATGCATGGTTCGAATAGATTAGCGGGGTTGGTGCTCTACCGCCCCCTTGTGTGAGACATAAAAAAAGCCACCATAATGGAGCAGAAACATTTTCTGCAGCGAGCTGACTCTCTGTTTCCTCCCCATCTGATTACACGGTGTTCAGGTTGAGGATGTTCTCTCCGCGGGTGAGTGAGTGTTGCTTCTGCGGGTATCAAAGAGTCTTAAAGGATCTGTTCAGTGCTTGAGGCAGAGATGTCAAGTAGTCTCCAGGCAGCATGTGGATTGAGCTCCTCTTGGTCTCGACAGAGAGCCCACACGTACATCATCCTCAGAACTTTATCCTAACAAGAGAGAAAACAAGAACATGACTCATCGTTTTTTTCAAAGGTGACGCAACAATATTAGGTTGATCTGGGTGATATACCCAATTAGATTTTATTTACTAAATACTGTGATACACGAGGGGCACAATATTAGACGGTTCTTTACGGCAACCAATAATAGAAATGATGTATTATGAATATAGTTCTGACATTGTCAATCAATATATGCCTTTCACGCACATAGGTTCATGTGTACCTAATGTGTGTGGGTTTAATAGTTCTCGTGGCCTGATCTGAACCCTGTTGAAGATTGTAAATGTCCCTCCCGATGGTGAGACAGTCAATATGTTGTGAATTGTGAGCGGCTGTTGTTTTCGCTTCTTGAATAGATGCCTTGGCCTCCATAACACCACCACATGTCCCTGAGGAACTCGAATAGACAATTAGGCTGATTTACAGCTCATGAAGTAGGAGTTGTTGAGGGTTGAGGATATAAATAAATGCAGACAAATGTATCAGACTTGGCCAATGTATGTCCTGTGTCAGAGTCACACATTGGTGATTATGCACCAAATTTAGCGATATTCGTGTCAAAATCTAAATTACCATTGTACAAGCAGGCATATTTAACCTGAAAGAGAATCTGAAAATAAACCTGTGTACTGTGTGTACATGTGTATTTTTTTTGTTTGTTTGTTTTGTGCGCATGTCACTTACAGGGTCACCTTCCACCACTTCTCCTTTGGTATTTCGTACTACCATCACTAACTGAGCTTGGAAGGTGATGATTAAGACCGGACCCTGGTCCATCATCTTTCCCATGGCCAGCTGGAGAAGAGGACACACGCAAAGTGTTTAAAATGACACTTTTAAAAACGTCACACAAAATATAGTCAATCATATACAATCGGATATATTTGAACAGATATATAGTTGAACAATACCGTATGCGCTGTGTTTATTAATGCGGTTGCTGAATGCAGTGGTGTACAACCTGCACTGAATCAACTTATTTTATGCAGTTCTCTTACAAATTATATTTGGCCAAATGTGTTTTGGGTTAAGTATTTGCAACCACTGTACTTTGAGCCATTTCACAGATGATTACCCTATATTTTATTTGTTCTATAATAAAACATAGTGAGATCATTCATGATAAAAGTGAGCACTGTCTCATGGGATCTGCTTTGGTCTTTTTGTTGCGCTGAAGTTCTGTGCAATTACCGTCCGGAATTTACCATGGCGCCAGCGGTGGCGACCATCTGTCAGAGATTTAGGGGAAGCCGCTAAGGATGGCTTCGTTGAGCAGAAGGAGCACGCTGCTGATTCTCGTCTACCTCGAGCAAAATCTTGGCAGAGTTTGGCGGTGTATTGTAACTTACATCAATGCTGTCGATGTCCAGGATCTTTGAGTGAAACTGAAATCCCATGGCCTTCGCTTGTTGGATCGGGTGTGCTAGCTGACTATATGTCTGCATATTGTGAAAAAAAAAAAAGAGCCAAAAGATGACTTAACATTCATGATCACAGACCAGGAGTGAAGCCCTGACATCTTAACAATTCAACTGTCAAAAGCCTGTTTCTAGACTTGTAGTACTGAGTGTGTGAGTGTGTACCGCTTCGTAACACCAGTCTTTCAACACATCCAGCTCGCCTCTGATCATTGCCTGCAAGGATAATAACATCGTTAGGTATATCTGAACAATCAAAGAGCCAAGACAAAAACTGTTTTCAAAGAAAAAAGTCTTTACAAAGACAATATTTTTTATTAATAAGAAAAAAAGACATTAAAAAAAGCCAACGTCGTGCACAGTTACACGATACGGAAGATGGTACAGCGCAGCGCAGGAATTTATATTTCAAAAGTATTTCCATATTTAGAATTTTCAAGGTTGCAGATAAAAAACGGAACTGAGATTTGGAGCCATGCTAATATCCATCCATCAATGATCCAAAATATTAGAAATATAAAATTGCGATGCTCCCCAATGACATATAATCAATACCTTTCTGACAATGCCGAATTTTAATTCAAATCAAGTCAAATTTATTCATATAGCCCTGCATCACAGAAAGTCTCAAGTGGTGTCACATCATGCCCACAGTTTACAAATATTAACGGCATCCCCTGATTTTAATCTCCTGGAGAAAAAGGAAAAAAAAAAACAAAATGATTGAAAATTGAAGAACCTTGAGAAGGGGCTGCAGATGGGAGAAATGTTTCCCAACCCCAATTTCCATACTTCAGAATCTTTTGTGCGTAAACATGGGCTGCATTGAGTCTTAGCGTGATTTGTGCGTTTGACCGAATTAACAAAACGTCACGATAACACCCTGGCTGTTTGCTGCATACCTCCAAAATATTAGGGATGATGTCATGTTCACACTGCTTCAGGAAGGAATCTTTGTCAAAAGACGGGTCCGCCTTCAGAATTTCCGTCAGTACCTCGGACATTTCCGTCTTGGAGAACAGTCCACCTGGACATGCGTGGTGGTGAAACACAGTAAAGCGTTTAGCAGCAAACGTCAGACGGTTGTAACAATGTTGTAGTTCAGGCACATGCTGCACACGTATTTTACGAAAACTCTGAAATAATTATGCAAAACTATGAGCACTATACAATAATCAAAATATTGTTTCATTACTATATCAGTGTCAATAACAACTGATTGTTACATATTAAAATGGGGGCTATACACTTTTTTTTCTGTTAATCAGATTACCAGAACATCAAAGTTCAATCTAGAAGATGCAGCAGTTCTACTGTACTTTTCCGTTATCAGCTTGAATAAGCCTCACAGCATGACTAATGCAAGACTATTAGATCTCACACCTATGAGGTCGGTCATTTTGTCAGTGACGGCCCGTGATGCTCTGATGAAAGCGTTGTCACTCTCATCATACTTCATCTTCATTTCAAAGAACCCTGGAGTGGGAATGAAGTTTGCCGGTAAAAGGTGAGCACAGAATTGCAAATGTATGAATAAGGTTAAATGTAAAAATGCGACTTCCCATTGTGTCAGATGGTGAAACAATGAGCCGTACAGTGATTAAAAAAAGGGGAAAAAACTGAGATAAAAAAACCAGATCAAGATATAGAATTTCAAAACCTTTTCCACCATTTGTGTGACCTACAAGTTGTACAATGCAAGTGAAAAGAAATTATGTTTTTCCAATAAACTGGGACAAACGTGCACACACCTGCCACCATTTAAAGTGCCTTTGATGACCCCCAAATAAAGCTCAGCTGTTCTAATACTTTGGGACATTTTTGTTGTCACATACTACAGCACAAGCCATGGTTTGCAAATAACATGTACAACATTAGATGGAGCTCTCTCACTGTGAAAACGTTAAAGTCAGGACAAGGGTACAGAAGAATTTCCAAGGGATTAAAAATAACATGACACTCACAACAGTGACATTACCAAATACTGGGTTTGCCTCCAAAAATGATGAAAAGACAAGAAAACTGGTCATTGCTCATCACCCCCCGCCCCCCCAGCATCATGCTGTGCATTGTTTTTCCTTCAGCTGGAACTGGGCCCTTAGTCTAAGTGGGCGGAATTATGAACAGTTCCAAAAAGCAGCTCGTGTTAGCGCAAAACCTTCAGGCTCCTTCGAGAAAGCAAAATATGTCAAGAAAAGACTCCTAGAACATCTGAACTTCATTTGGGGTTAATCAGTGGAACTTTAAATGGTCTCAGGTGTATGCTGACTCATTTAACATGAGTTTGAATGTCACTGGTTATTTTTGAAAACAGCAACATAAATATCTCAGTTGTTTATTTTCACAACTACTCCGAATAATATGTAATTTTTTGATGTTGTTGTTGAGTTGTTAAGTTATATACTGTAGTTCACAATGGTGGAAAAAGCTTTAAAATGCATATTGTGCTCTTTTTTTTTAGATCACAAAAAACAGGCAGTTGTGGCATATGACAGAATTGGATGAAGCACTTTTTTCTCCTTACTATTGAAGACCACATTATTGTCTTTGAAGTCCTTCCACTGTTGGTACCATTTGGAGTCCTTGTGGAGCACCACACCCATTGCTTCCCTAAAGAGCACATACAAATGATGAGAACCTCGCTAATGTGTTTAATTAACACACGATGGTCCAGAGAGGAGAACATGGCGATGGCGTGCCCCCTCTCAGCATGAGAGCAAAGCGGGTGGCCACTCACGTACTCGTTGGCTTCAAAGACCCTGTTGTCATCTGACGACCCCTTCGAGGAGAATTCGCTCCTCTTCCGGAGTCGAGGAGGGGGCCGGTAGGGGCCAGTGTGGCCCAGATCGCCGATCTCTTTCTTGACACTCTCCATACCCTGAAAACACAAACACAAAGTAATCGAGTGAAATTCTCAAAATGAAAATCTTATTATCGAGGAGGCATTATTTGTTTCACACTAATGGGACAGCGAACCTCTAAAATGTTATACAATAGCTATGGTTTTGTGTTGGTGATGCTATGTAGTTCATTAAGGCACACACAGTTTCATGATTTTATGGACTAGTGACACACATCTTCAGAATAGAACTGAAAACCTATTTTAAAATACCGTTACACTACGCCAGAAGAGTGGCACGTTAGTTCTGCTCGACAGTTCTGAAGTTCGAATCTCATCTCTGCAACTCTCCCCAAAATTTAGCTGAGCTCAGCTCCAAGGTTAATGGTAACAGTCATTTTCAGAGCCTTTTTTCTTTTTACATTTAAGTCATGAAAAACAAATTGAGAAAAAAAATATGAATAATTTAATTGGATTTAACGTGTGGAGTCTGAAAACACATAAAGGTTTGGGGGAGTGAATGCATTAAGTTGGCTTTACAGGTTTAAAATACTGAATATCTTGAATGTTACTTTTTATTTCACCTCCCCCCGTAGCTCACTAGTGCCCCCATGAGGATGCTTATCAAACATTTTGAAAAACCCCATTTGACAAAGCAGCAGTGGCTCCAAACCTGTGATATAGCTTTGAATGCACCAGTCTTTCCCAACATCTCTCCACTCTTTGAGACGCTCTCTGCTGAAGTCTTTGCCGTTTTGGCTGCCTCCTCCATTCCCTCCTTAATCTTCTTACCAATTTCTGTACGAGTGACTTCCTCCAGGCCCTACTCACCAAGAACGCAGATGGATCAGTCAACGTGGGCCACATATTGATAGTAAGACCATAAAGGAACTGAGTCAGAGGCTTTTGGCATTTACCTCCTTCACGGTATCTGAGAGGGTCTCCAACTTCTTTTTGAGAACTTCAGAAGTCTTTACTGTTTCAGACTCAATAGTTTTCTAGGAAAAAGACAAGGTTTTACAAACTCAACCAAATGGATTGCATAGATGGACACAAATGCAAGTTGTGTGGTCAGATACTAACATATTTCCTGCGCGCTTGCCTCAGTGCGTCTGAGTCCTCTAGTTTTTTTGCCTCTTCCCGGAACTTTTTAATGTTTTCTTTCATTTCCTTGTTTTTGCTCATCTCTTGCTTCAAGTTGTCCAGGAACTCACCGAGAAAACCTTTTTTTCCTCCGCCCCTCTCCCCTGACAAATATCTCGCCTGTTGAAATGAAGACTGGGGCACCTTTGTAGCGTTTCAGGGAGATACAGTACCAAGAGAACACAGGAATTTAATAAATTCAAGACGTCCGCATGAGTATTGTTATATCTTTTAAAAAACGTGATGGAAAGGTCATCGATACAAAGGTTGAGGTTAAACATGATTTATCGATACTCTTACCTGAGAAGTGCTTGCGAGAATGCTCCGTATTCTGAAGACATTTGCTCCATTGTGCAGGAACAAGAACGATGAGGGGAATGCCAAAGAGTATCTTTTTAAACATACCTAATGACAGACGCATAATATTAAACTGGATGGCAATCCAATTACGATCACAGATATGTAGGTTAAGTGAGCATGAGGCGAGATATTAAATTTTGAAATTGTGTCAAAACTGAATTTGTGTTACTTGAACCACTTGATGAAAGCATCACAAATTCTATTGAGCAAAGTCAGTCTTGTTCGGAGTCCTTTATTATTTCCGTATTTTGTCGGCGTGGTACAATGACGGTATGAGCCTACTTGACATTCTAACGTCAGTCCACACACCGTCTAGTCGTAGGAAAAACAAGACACGCTACAGAGAGCCCGGTTAACAGTTGCACGCGATCTACATCAGTCGAAATAATCCTACTTTTGAGTGTTCAGTGAACGCCAAACGACCCAAACGCTCACCTGGTAGCACTGACACAAGGGGGCCGCCATCTTGAATCTGCTGACTATTAAACTTCTTCCGGTCTAGAGTCGCGCTAGCGTGTTCCTGGGGGCGGATCTTTTATTTTCATTGGCTAACTTGCAGTAGGGGCGGGTCTTCACTGGGTACTGGTTTAAACCTGACCTCCGACCCTTCTGCGTGGAAATTGCGTGTCACTCCCTCCCACCCCCGCCCAGTGATCGCGAGAGATATCTCCAGCTTTCCCCTCCACATTGCAAATACAACTTTCGAAACTAAGTACTAAATACTTTGTGTAGTGTGACTGGCTGGCAACCAGTTCATAGTGAGCCCACCTCTCGCCCAGTCACTCGGGATGTGAAGGCTTCAGCTTCCCCATGATGCGAGTGAGGAAAAAATACAGCTGACCGATTACAAGACATACATTCACTTGTGTGCTACTAATAAGTGTGCAGAAATCGCATTAAATACACTTGACTAAAAATGAACATCTGTACTCACTTGGTTCAGCGAGAAAAACATTAAACATATAGGTGTTAAACACATTGACAAAAACAGTCAAGATTAATGGTTGAAGTTTATTATCAAAACACCTTGAATTACAAAGTGATCGGATGGACCATAGCAGAAAAAAAAACCCAGCTTTTACAAACTAAAAACATCTTTTACAAACTAAAATCAGTCTACTAAAACTATTTCACGGTGACAAATGTCAAACCAAGGGAATATGAAGAGAGTGTCTGGCAAATTTAGACAATTGTGTAATAATATACAGCAGCTTGATGTCAACTGCTGAACAAGAACAATCTATGCATTCCTATCAATCCTAACATCGATTTCTCTTCCACTGAGGCGATAGCCATTCATGGTACGACAGGCACGCTCAGCAGTCTCAGGGTTGTCAAAGCGAACCACACCACAGCCCTTGGACTTGCCATTCTCCATCTTGATGTCAGCATACTGCACCACACCTGCAAGAAAATGCACAGGAAATAAATAAAAGCGCCAATTAATTTGTATTGGGTTAAAATCAATGCTGTGGTAATTCCATTGATGATTATTATCAACAATCTTACCACATGTACTGAAGGTATCCTTCAGCATCTTCCAAGTTAAGTCAAATGGCAGCTACAAGACAAAAAAAAAAAAGCCAAAAGGTTAATCATACTACATGAGAATGTCTTGCTAGAAGCTATAACTCCATACAAGATGAAAAACATACATTGCGGACAAAGATCTGGCAACCCTTTCTGATATTTCCTGCTCCACTTCCAGGGCCTCCTGATCCAGCTCCTCCAAAGGAATTTCCACCAAAGCCACGATCCAAATCAGAAGAACGATCAAACTGACCACTGACACCACCAGATCCCATCCGGTCCATTCCAGAGCTCATACGATCAAGGCCACCAGACTGAAAGCGGTCAAGACCTCCAGTGGACCCCATGCGGTCAAAGTTGCTGGACATTCTCTCAAGCCCAGTGTTGCCCATGCGATCCACGCCCATTGGGGAGCCGAAGTCCAGACTAGAGGCGATGCGATCCAAACCTGATGGGCCCAAGCGGTCGAAACTAGTTGGGCCGAGGCGATCCATATTGGAGCTCATGCGGTCGAGGCCACCTCCAAGTCTGTCCATACTCGGTCCCAGGCGGTCCATCCCAGAACCAAGACGGTCAAAGCCAGAGCCCATCCTATCCATGTCAGACACGCGGTCCCTGTCAATGCCCATTCGATCCATCCCTCCAATGCGATCCATGCTCGTTCCAAGACGGTCCATTCCAGAATTCATACGGTCCATACCCATGGAATTTCCTGTACATAAGAGAAACGTATTACATATGCAGTCTGGTGTGTAGGTCTTGTACAGCATTGGTAAGTTGCAGCCATTCAAGGAACATGATCTCATACCTCGATCAAAGGAGTCTCCAAAATTATTGCGAGACATGCCCATTTCATTTCGACCAAACTCCCGGTCAAACCCACCACCAATACCTCGGTCCATATCTGAAAAATGCAAGAGATGCAACGATTGGATATGAAGTAAGCCTTACACTTTATCTATGTATCAAAACTCCTGACCATTCATTCTGCCCATCCCAGAAGAGCCAAAGCGATCCATGTTGTTCATTCCTCCAAAATTGTCCATCCCTAAATCTCAGACACGAAAACAATAATAGCAAATAAGTATTCAAAACATGCACACCAGAAAATCCTGCAAAGAAAGATGGGGTTCTGGAAAATACCTCCCATACGGTTTCCCATGTTGCCAAAGCCCATTCCATCCATTCCTAAGAGAGAAGACCGAAGACCAGTGAGCAAACAAATGTATTCTTGTTCTCTTTCTCAGTAAGAACTTGGCAATAACCTCCAATGCCCATGTTGCCCATTCCACCACCGCCGCCTCTGTTCAGCTGGGTTGCATCAATAGGCTGGCCACCAGGCCCCAAACCCAAACCAATGCCACTCAAGCCACCTGGGTTAAAAAACAAAACAAAATAAAACGTAACTATGACGGATTTTATGAACAGACATTACAGAAATGTATATGAATGCTACTGTGGTGCATTTGTTTAGGTTATTTAAAACATTTTATGCTTACGTGGGAGAGATACACCTCGATCAGGTGGTCCAAAATCTTTGGGCATGGACTTCTCATCCTAAAGGAGACAAAAACAATGTACGAAATCACCAGATAAGATAAACTGGACCCCAGGGCGCCGTTTTGGCAGCATACCAGTTTTACGTGCATGATCCGGTTGAACAACAGCTGTCCATTCAACATGGCTGCAAAACTCATTAAGGAAAATCATAGTGCAAATCTTTGAGACTTGGTCAACTTGGCTTGAAAATGATTCCAACAATTAAATGAGAGGTGGCGATTTTGTAAGGATACAGACAGCTTGGACCGCTTCAATGGGCAGGTTGAAGGTTACGGTGCCCATCCCTCTGCTCTTTCCGTCCTTGTCCTCCAGAATGTCAGTCCTCAACACTGCGCCAGCCATGGCGAACACCTCTTTCAGCTTCTTCCAGCCCACCTTGTAGTCAAGCTGAAGAAATAAATTTCGGCAGTGTTAAGACTTACACCAGTTGCATCATCGCAAATATTCTCACGTTTTAATCTGGGATGCACCAAAATGAAATTTGCTGGCCAAAACCATAATGAATAATACGCTATTATAGAAAAAAAAAAAAAAAAAGAGCAGGGTTGAATCATTTCCTGCACATTGCCAAATCAGTTGAAGTGCGAGCTCTCTGGTTCCTTCCAAGCAATGGGCACACATTCACGGTCTGCGGGGAGGCAGTCCGCGGTGGCAAAGCAGCGTTCTTGTCCTGGGCCACGGCTGACTTTGCCATGGCAAGGGAATTTTGGGCTCATTGCTCCACCGCCCAGCTTCTGCACTGCACCACGTCATCGTGGTCGACCACGATGGCTCAAAACATCGCAAACCCTGGCCGGATTTCACTCCCCTTTCTTTTATATCTAAGCCTAACCCAGGCACCAAAGCAGTATCCCACAACATTGCGGCAGTGGTTTTGCACTGGTTCGCGCTTGCGTCTTCACGACATCCTTTTTCGGACGTGGTGTTTCTGTGTCTTTTGGCTGGAAACCGAAAGAGCACTTTTTGGCCATTTTCAGCCCAAAAATTTCAATAATTGAATTTTCGTTACAACCACGGTTTTCATCATTATATAATGAAGACTCACATTTGCAACAAAGACAGTGTTGCCAATTCTCCCCGCTTGCAGGCCATGGATGATCTCCATGGGAATACTGGGGTTGTTCATCAGGCTGGGAGGGACGTTGATCATGGGGCCATTTGGTCCAGGGCCCATTCTGTCCATATTCATGCGATCCATTCCACCCATGCCACCATGGGGGCCTCCACCCCCTTGTGCCTTGCTGATTTCCCTCTGAGCAATCATACCATCGGGGTCCTAAACAAAAAATACAAATCAGTGACCATTTGGCAAGGGGGCTGGGGGACAATTGTGCAAACTGTTTCTGTGGCGTACGTACCTCTTTCACTTTCAGGGGACGGCCATTGAGGTTGTGCTTGTTGACCTTCTCCACTGCCTTCTTCATTAGCTCCTCTGTCCTAAACTCAACCACACTAGCGGACCAGAAAGAAACAGTCAGAAAAAGTTTTATGGCAATGTCATACAAATGCACAATTGAAATGACAGCCTGTCACATAACAGAAGAAATAAAGTTACTTACGCACACCCCTTTGTTGATTGAAGATCATGAAACCACCCAAAATGGGAAAAAAAAATGATTCAAGTTAGGAAAACCCACACGTAACTTGATTTTACAATATGCATTTGTTAATACAAAATGAAGATCATGCACATCAAAACATACATTACCACACGCTTAAATCCTCGGCCACAACAGGTGCCACAACTATTCAATTATTTAGCCAAATCTCCCATCAATAACACAAAGCAGTCACATGCTTGTTTTTTTTTCTGTCCAACATCCAAAAGAGGAAATCCACAATGAAATTGGATTCCTCAATACGGAGATATTGGAGGTTACTGTTCCAGGAAAGAGATTCTTCTTTCTAAAAATATTTTTGGATTAAACAACCATCAATAAGACCCTCGACCGCCACTTGCAGGATTCACCTTCTTTAGGTCATTAGAAGAAATTCCAGCAACCATTTCAGTACGTTTGCGTGAGTACATAGCTATCTCACAGCTAAGAAGCTAAGAGAAAGCTGAAGTCCTGCCAGAGCATCAACCCTAAAATGACCTCACGTCAAGGCCACAGGCGACACCACAAAGGGCATGTCTCTGACATGTCACAGTCTCATCCACTGCCTCAGGTTTCGGAATCTGACAATTGTCCAACAATGAAGATAGAGACTAAAGCTGACAAACACACGTTTGTCAAGGATAGTTCAAAAATGGTGTATTTGTATATATTTGCACTTACCCTTGATTTGCCTTCTGCGTCCATTAAGTGTTCCACGTACGTAACCTCACCCACTACAAATCAGATCCCAGACGACACACACCAAGGGAGAGAAGCCGAGAGAACAATTGGGGTTTAGAATGGAAACAAGGAGGGTGGCCGGTGAGCTCAGACTTGCAGTCCCAAGCCTTCTTCCAGCACTGCTCTCGCAGCACAATATGGTACAGGTCTACAAAAAGCAAACTTTTTCTTAAACAAAATGTACTCCTTAACCCTGTCCTTTTAAAGGATTCTCCCAAAGCACCAAAACAAAGGACTAAGACTATGCAAGTTTTGCCATTAGTCTTCCCGTTTGGAAATGAAACAACGCCTTGATGATTGACATATTTTAGAACGAATACAAACTCTGTTCAAAACCACGACTCGCTTCATTGCTAACCTGTGTGCACCGAGACACCATTGTAAACCTCAGGGCAATGCATAAATACCTTTGTCAAACAGCTCAGTCTGTCTTATCCTATGAATACACTGACCATAGCCTGAGTTACAGTCATGAGATTTGTGAGCAGAAGAGTAGCGTAAGGCATTTTCTTAGTGCGCTGTTTTATGAAGTACAATTTAGATTCAGCGTCGACCACAGCCTTCACTCCTGATACAACAAAATGGACCAAACCTCTCAAGACAAGGACAGTGTGATGTAAGAAGTTGTTTCATTTTGTAGACCTGTACCCCAGACAATCCCAACACACGTCTTTGATTGGCACAACATGGAGACCTGCTGAGAAAACATTTGGCTTGTCAATGACACACCTAAAAGAAGAAAATGAAATTTAACTCCACAATCAGATCACAGATACTAGTGAGCCCTTTCTAGAGGGGGCGCTATCGGCATTTCAGGACATGCTCAAGATGCTCAATTAACTAAAATAATTTAAAAAAGAAAAAGACGAGTTTTGGAAAACCCACAAAGGTGGACCAATAGTCAGTCCAAAATCAATAGTGTACATTTGAAATGGGACTTCCCATTTCCGTCTTAAGACTGTTCAAATGTCTCAATTTATTTTTAGACAAGAATACTCATTTTACCTATCGCCAAGTGAGCGCAAGACAGATTTTCTGTCATGCAAATCAATGAAGTTGAAATCATCTCATTTAGCACACATATACACACCATAGGTTATAACTAATATGAAATACGACATCAAGAATTAAACAGACTTCTAAAAAAAATACCCAATGGACATTTTTTGCTAAAAAAATTCGAATAGAAATGATCATTCCGTCAGACCTCCAAGGCGACAGCCTCAGTGCAAACCTACTGCAAATTATTTGCTGACCGCAAAAATACGATGGGGCCTTCGCTCCAAACCACACAATTTCTCCAAAGAGGATGTGCAACTGAAAAATCCCAAAGCTCTTTACAAGCACTGGTAGTCCAATAAAAAGTTAATAAATAAAATAGCCCAAACGACCACACACCACTTCAATCACATGGACTCAATGAACCCCCTAATCCAGAACCCTTACCTTTTTCTTTCATTAGGTCTTTAAGGGCTTGCCACTTCACATCATAGGGGATGTTGCTGACAAAAACTCGGTATCGCTTGTTCACATTTCCATAGGGCTCAAAGCGTCCACCTCCACCTCTCTTCTGGGGTCTCTCCTTCCTGCTAGAATTTCCCTCATGTTTGACCTTCCCGTTCATTTCTCTGCAAGTGAGGGGAAAACCACATCCTCAGATAAATACTTTTTCGCTAACCCAACAATCCATTTCAGTGGCCTGTCTGGTTAAGACCAGAGACGAATTATCGCTAAAAACACCTGGTGAATGAAGATTTTTCAAATTACATCACCGTAAAAAGATAAACACGCGGACAATTAGCATTAATATAGTTGTATGCCAAAGGTAAACTGGTTAAGGTACACAACTAATCTGTTTGTTAACGCAGCGTCGATCGTAAAATGGCTGCGCGTCCCAAGCAAGGAATTGACGAACGATAAGCCCACAAAACAGGGAAGGCCCGATTCCATTTTAGCACAATTTACAGTGATCTGTCACGACCCATAGCCACGCAAATCTTCAATTTAGCATGTTTCCATGATGTCCCCTAATCGTCATAACCGTGTGATATGTTGTTCAGAGCTAGCTAATTATGTTAGCTCTGGGGGGCTAACAAAGAAAACGTTGAAGACATTACCCTTGTTGCTGCGGCGACTGCTGCTGCTGTTGCCCAGCTTTGTCGGAAGTATTTTCATTCTGCTCGGCGGACATGGTGTTTGACGATAAACTGATTGCAAACAAATGCGTTAAACTTCTCTTAAAAATAAACCCGCAGACAGCAGTTGACTTAAGAGATCGCACAACGTATAGAAAATGGCGGAGAAAAATTTCATGGGGGGCGGATGTAGAATTTTGAAAAAGTGTAATGAGGCACATACTTATTTCCGCATTCTTCCTTCAAAAATAAAACGACGTGAATTACGAATCTTGCACTTCTATGATCATCATTGCGATCCAGATTTCAAGTTAAAGTTAAACACACTTCCGGAAAGGTTTCCCCACTGTTTCCAAAACATACTTGACTAAACCCGTGATGGCTGTGCTTCCGAGTTATGAACAGCAGAGGGCGGGATGGTGTTCCTAATATTTATTTCCATTTAATCATTATGACCTCGCAAACGAAAATTAGTTTTGTGTAATCTATCCACCCATCCATTTTTGTAGCACATCATTAATTATAACTGGAGTAAAATTAAGGATCCAGACGCTACAATTTTGTAAGTAGTACAAACAATTCACAACCCGCGGTACATGGTGCAACGGCAAAATATTCCACTCCTGTTGGTGGCACTACTTTGTTATCGCCAACCAACTTACGTATAATGTAAAACACGAAGAAGACGCCAGCAAGGTAGTCGGAAATGTTAGCTGTTTTTTTGCTAACCAGAACAATAGCAGAGCATATTAAACCAGAAAATAGAAATCGTGAAGCGAAACCTTCATATTAACTCCATCTTCAAATTAATTTAATCTGGCTACCTTTGAGTGTATCGTGGTCCTGTGCGATTCTGTTTAACTACGCAACAGAAATGAGCAACGAGCAACGCGTTCTGTAGACTTCAATGAATAAGCGCCAGAGCACGAATTCGTTGTGTTTACCAGTGGTGTGAAGCATCGTTTTATATAGCATCATGACTACCGGTGCTGATGTGAGGGACATTTTGGAGTTGACGGGAGGGGATAACGATGGCCCGATCAGCAAGAAAGACCTCATCAATTCTGACAAGGTGAGAGTTTAACCGCGCTTTCCCATTCATTGCAGTTGGTACATGTTGTGTGGTGCTATTAAATACAAGAACTCAGTGCCTTTCCATAAGAAGAGTCCACCTTTGTTGTGATTGATTGTGAAGTATGTGAAACGTGTCCTTAGTGTCTAGGTGCTCTATTTCTTATTTATCCCTTCCAGAAAAAGTCTAAGAAAACAACTGAAACATTAACCTTCAAGAGGCCAGAGGGAATGCACAGAGAAGTCTATGCGCTGCTGTATTCTGATAAAAAGTATGTATTTTTGTTTTTTAGGTAATGTTTTTGCCTTGAATGTGTGTACAGGTTAAGATTGATTTAAAATTCGATGAGTGTTTCATCCCTAATGTGTTTGATAATATTTGATTCAACCTGACTGGGTTGTACTGTATCTCATTAATTACGATTAAATTGTTAATTTCATGACACTTTTCGATTTCCACCTTAACATTCTCCCAACATTCACTTTTAAATTTACTTGTCTCCATTCTCTTATTCCATAAACATTTGGCTTTATTAAAAAAAAAAAAAAAAAAGCTTTTTGTTTTTTCACAATCCCCAGGGACGCGCCTCCACTTCTTCCCAGTGACACCACCCAGGGCTACAGGACAGTCAAAGCCAAACTGGGCTGTAAAAAGGTTCGTCCCTGGAAGTGGATGTCCTTCAGTAATCCTGCTCGAAGGGATGGTGCCATATTCCACCACTGGCGACGAGTGGCAGAAGAAGGCAAAGACTATCCTTTTGCCCGTTTCAACAAGGTGGGAATTGGTAACTGTCTCTGCTCTCTTGAGCCAAAAGACATCAATAATTATTATTTCCCTTATTAAGTTCATTTGCTCTTCGTCCCGGTTCCCTGAATAGACAGTGCAGGTACCTGTGTACTCGGAGCAGGAATACCAGCTGCATCTCCATGATGACAGTTGGACTAAAGCAGAGACGGACCATCTGTTTGACCTGTGCAAACGCTTTGACCTGCGCTTTATAGTGGTGCATGACCGCTATGATCACCAGCAGTACAGAGTAATCAATCCTCCTTCCACCACGTTATTGTTCAATGTTACAGAATTAGAGCAGAGTAAGGGCTCGTTTTATTATCAGTAATATAGTTTCTCTGTTCATACTTTCAGAAACGGTCCGTAGAAGATCTCAAAGAGCGCTACTATGGTATATGTGGGAAGCTGACGAAGGTCCGTGCGCCTTCAGGGACTGACCCCAAAATCTACATCTTTGATGCCGGTCATGAAAGGCGCCGCAAAGAGCAGCTGGACAAGCTCTTTAATCGTACACCTGAACAAGTGAGAGACCTTGCTTTTTCTTATAAGGAACTGCTACATAACATGATATTCTCAATTTAAAGATTTCCCAAAGAAGCATCACGTGAACGTCAAATAATCTTCTCAAATAGTTTTCAACGTTTAATTCTGAAGAGTAAAATAGAGTGGTGTCAGCAATGGAAACAATTTGTTCTGGAAAACCTATAGGTTGCCAGCTCTGTTCATGTTACTTGTACTTCTGTTGTTTTGTCTACAGGTGGCAGAAGAGGAATATCTGATCCAGGAGCTGAGAAAGATAGAAACAAGGAAGAAGGAAAGGGAGAAGAATGCTCAGGATCTGCAGAAGCTCATAAAGGCCGCTGACACTACCACAGAGTTGAGACGTGCAGAAAAGAGAGTTTCCAAAAAGAAACTTCCACAAAAAAGAGAAACAGAAAAACTGGTAAGCACTCAAGCACCAACTTCATTTTAGATGTGGTTCACATGGTTTTTAACAACCAATCTAATTCACTATGTATGGATGGTATGTAGTGTTTAAAATTATTATATTATTGTTATCATCATCACTATCATCATTTACCGGATAAGCAACAGCTACAACAATTTTGAACCAACATTGACAGTGTCAATAAAACTGAGCACTTTTAGCTAATTATTGGTGTACGTGCTGATACAAAACTTTTCATTTGCAGGTATCCTTAATAACCAATTTCCTACATATTTTATCAGGCCAGGTGAATCCATTTGAAATGTTTCTTTTCTTTTTTAAGGCTGTTCCAGAGACAGCAGGCATCAAATTCCCAGATTTTAAGTCTTCTGGAGTTACGCTGCGCAGCCAGAGGGTGAGTAGTAATCTGTTGTGTGTGCATTTCTCACAACCTCTTTGTAAATATTCAACTCTCCTTGTGCACTGTTGAAGTTGGATTTGTCGAGCAGCAGACACATTTATTTTTCATTAAACGTAACAGGGTTTTCAAGCTATTCATACGTGCACAATAGTTCATTAATTTACATTTTGTGGGCTTTACTTTGTAGTTCTTATATTTAGATTTTTTTTCCACACAAGTTGTTAGACAGGATTTTGTATTTCATTGATCTTAACAAGAAACTGGTTCATTTAAGTTTTAGCATTAACATGACACTCCAGCCAGAATGTTTGACTTCTGCTCACTATCTCTCATTAGCACCGTTATGATAAATTCTCCTGATGACATATTAGTACCGGTGTTTGTAAGAGCTAGCAATGGCGGAGCCTTATTCATCTTCAAGACTGATGAGGAGCTGCTGCTCTCTATGGGATGTGCATTAGGCCAACTACGGAGTGGAGTTCCCCTCCCTCTCATCAGTCAGAGTTCAGTGAATGAAAACATTTTGATCTGGATCTGGCCCACTGAAGTGAATTTCATACGAATTTAAAAAAAAGAAAAAAAGCCTGATTTGTTTCTCATCATTTCCCTTGCCTTCCTTAAATCATGTCTGTGAGTGTGTGTCTGTCTCAAGCTCTGTATTTTTTGTGTGATTTAAAGATGAAACTGCCAGGCTCAGTTGGTCAGAAGAAGATCAAGGCAATCGAGCAGATTCTGGTGGATCAAGGAGTGGGTGAGTGGGAAACTTGTCCCATCGCAACAGACGCACGACGTGGAACTTATAAGTTAACCTTTTATTGGAAATGGAGACACACATGCATTCTTGGTAGAAGCAAATTGTATTTCAAGTTTGCAGGTATATGGTCTGCTGAACATTTACATTATCAAACATCTTGTCATATTCCTTGGATTATTTGAACCAGTTTTCTCCTCAAATGGGTTAATTAAATTGCATTTCTTCATTTGTTCAATTCATATATCTCATTAATTAACAGGTTAGTTGATTCAGTGTAAATAACAGTAAAATAAACAAGTTTACATGTACCGTATTTTCACACCTATAAGGCGCCATTAAAAGTCTAAAATTTTCTCCAAAGTGGACAGCACGCCTTATAATGCGGAGCGTCTTGTGTATGCGCTGAGTACCAAAACCTGACAGAGAGCCGACGCGCGTTTATATAGAGAAAAGGCGGAAGTGAATGAGGACAGGCATGCGGCGAAGAAGTCGGCCAATCAGTGAAGGGTGGGCGTGTATATATAATAGAGAGAGAGCGAGAGAGAGAGAGAGAGAGAGAAAAAGAAAAGGCTGACGTGAGTGAGGACAGGCATGCGGCGAAGAAGTCCGCCAATGAGTGAAGGGTGGACGTGTAAGTGGATGCTAAAGGCACGCCCCTAGCAGGTACCAGCACCTGTATAAAGTGTGGATATGTGCGTTATTGCAAAACAACTTCGGTTTTGGTTTCTAAGAACCCCCGAAATTACTTCTACAAAGAGACACGCCTACAAAGCTTCAAGCCATCGGTTATGCGGAGAAACGTGGGAATCGAGCAGCCGCGAGAGAATTTCAAGTCAACGAATCCATGGCTCGCATTGATTGATCAAAAAACGTGAGTACATTGTAAGCTGGCTAAATAAAATGCAACTGAACTCAGTTTTGCTTCCGTTGCCTCTTTAAAAACGTGTTTTTAGCGTGTATCCGTATGTCTTAGCATGCTACCGTATGCTTCAAGCTAACGTGTTTTTAGCGTGCGTGCACGCATGCCGTATGTTTAAGCTGGCGTATGTTTTACCACTGTAAAACTGCGCCCAATAATACAGTGCGTTTTGTCTATGTGTAAAATACCAAAATAGCACCCGTTAGTGAGACTGCGCCCAACAATACGGTGCGCCGAATGGTTGTGAAAATACGGTACAGCCCATTTCACATTTTTGTTTAGATTGTATTGAACAATAGTTA